GCTCCTTGGAAGCAAGAATGGCCAGACTTCATCTCACCTACTTTGATCATGCTGTCAGAGGGGACCATTCTCTGGAGAAGGATGTCATGCTTGGTAAGGCAGAGGGTCGATGAAAGAGGGTACGGGCTTTGACAAGACATATTGACATGGTGGCTGCAACAATGGGCTCAAGTATAGCAAGGATCATGGAGCTGGCACAGGATCAGGTGGTATTTTGTTCTGCTGTGCATGGGGTCATTATGAGTTGGAAACGACTCGACGGCACCTAACAACAACAACAACGGTTCCTCCTTAGGGCTTTTCTGAATTTCTCTTATTTTCTACAATGACAATATATTATTTATAAAATCAGAGAAGGTTTTAATTCAAATAACAATTAGTATTACAAGTTAGGTACAATTAGATCTCTGAGATATTATCCCCAAGGTACCTAAAAGTTACTACCTTCAGTAAGATTTGAAGACTCAACTTTAAATCACTTCTGGGATTACAGAGTCTCTTAGAAGAAAACACAGGAGCTTTTAATTGGCAACTGGAGCACAGTGGGTGCTCTGGAAATGGTTAGGGCTCAAAGGTTAGAGGGGACGTATGTGGAAGATTGTTTACTACTGACACAAACTAATGGCACGGAATTGGGGATAAAAGTTTTATTTTTGGCCCTTTCCTAGCAGTCATCTGGAATGGTGAGCTGTTGGCTGGGTTCTAGACACAGCTATAACTCAAAGAGAAGGAGCCAAGAAACCAACTAATTTGAGGAAGAGCAACCACAGCAACCTCAGTATGTGGACACAGGAAGTTTGTGAAATGCTGGGAGCATTGAGTGGAGACAGCCATGCTTATGTCTAAAATGGCTTCCTTGATTTGGAAGCTGAGGTCCCAGTCAACCACGTTATCTACTGTAAGTGGGGGAGTTGAGGATGCTCCATTATCCACTGGTGTTCAAATGAAGTGGATTACAGCAGAGATGGAAAAAGTTATTTTCAGAGAGGAGAGTGGATATGGGAACTAGGAATTCTGAGTAACTTATTTTACTTGAAAAGTTTTGAATGAAACAGTGGGAAAAAAGTCATGATGTAATGGGTAAAGGAAATGTCTTAGATACTTACGAGCATGACTTTAAGTTAGTTGTTCCTCCTTATCACGGAAAATGAAAGAACATAAGCCTAGAAATTCAGATTACACTAACTAAAATATACTGTACACTTTCTCTGTGCCAAGAACTTTCAGGAATCCTCACAATAGCCCTATAAAGTAGGTACTAATATCCCATTTTATATGAGATATGTTATGCTTGAAGATGTCAAGTGTTTTACTCAAGGTCTGTCCAGCTAATAATCCAGAGTTAAGAATGAACTCTGTGCCTTCTGACTCCAAGACAATGTCTCTTTCCAGTAAGACATAGTCTTCTGCATTAAGACACTTCATTAGCAATTAGAAGAAAGGGATAAGAGGCTTCTAGAAATGATTAGAACAATCAGGATAAGAAGCAGAAAGGATCAACACCAACAGTAAGCTTATCACTTATATAGTAGCTACGAGTTAAAAGTGCAAAATTTCAGTTGTGTTCCCAAAAACAAAGGCTTGATCTTGATACCCATACAACAATATGTGTGGGCAGGGAGTGGAGGGAAACCCCAATAATTCTCAAGACCATGCAGCAAAATGAACAGAGGAGAAGAGGACTTAATTCTAACTCATTATCATTACTCATTATCAACTCCTTTTAGGGCTCATAGTGTCATTTATTTCAACAATCATTGGGGCTCTCCAGCCAGGGATGTCTCATATTGTGAAAAACAAAGATGTTTTATAAGTAGTAGGACATAAGATGCAATATTTAGCACTTCCTTATGAGGAAAGCTTCCATGATAAGTGGGCCAACATAGGGTAAAGAGCATGGATGCTTCATGACCCATGTTCTCCAGAAGAGTTTGCTTTCTTCTGTAGATGATGTCCAATGGTGAGGAACAATCTAAGGATAGAGCCTCTGGGGAGAGACAGACAAAACTGGAGAATCAAGTGACTAAAATGTTATCTCTTTAAGGCAGAAAGAAAGCCGGCAGAGGTAACAGCATCCCCCACTGTTTCCCCATGTCCCTTCTACCAACCAGGTATCTTCTCTCTTTTTGCTGTGTGATACTGTTGGATGACTTATTGTGCATCCCGTCTGTGCTGCTACCTTTGGCCATATTCTAAATGGTGGGTTCTAGAATGCCTTTGCCAGAATTAAGGCTATGTAATTTTACCTTTTAATAATGAATATATATGTGAGATTTATTGGTTCAGAACAGTAAGTAACATTAAATTAGTCTATGTAATATAAAACAAGAGAAATCTTTCCAATTGTCTGTCCATTGACTGTTTACTTACTGCTTGGGGTTTAGAAAAAACTAAGGTCAAACTTCTAGAAGTCCTTGCCATCATTCCCTTCCAAGGAAAATTTGAAACTATGTTTTAATTTTTATAGTCATAATATGTTTGATTATTAATTAATTAATGACTAAAAGGGGAAGGCCCTCAAAGAGATGGATGGACACAGTGGCTCAACGATGGGCTTGGGCACAGCAAGGGCTGTGAGGCTGGCACAGGACGGGGCCGTGTTTTGTTCCGTTGCACATGGGGTCGCTATGAGTTGGAGACGACTCAACAGCACCTAACAACAACAACATTTGAATAACAATTAATTAATTGTTGGTGAAGAACAATTTGGAAAGTATGGAGAGGATAAAGGAAATTATTCACGCTCCAAGTCCTACATTCCATAGAAAACCAAAGTGAGGATTTTGGTGCAGTTCCTCTCAGCCATATATACGTAACACTGTAATCACTTATGTTATTATGAAACTTCCTTTGTTATTTAACATTTTATCATCAACTTTCTCTCTTGTCCTTATCTCCTTCTCTCTTGTCCAGTTTGCTTTGATGATATTCCATGTGATGGTATGTTCTCTCATAACCCACACCACCACATGTCAGAATTCCAGCATCATACAGGAAAAAATTATAGAAAATGTTAAGCTATGATCAAACTTGAAACATGATAGCACACACAATGTTACTTTTTTGTTGTTGTTCTAGTCCATAATTGGCAGCTCTGGTGGTGCAGTGCTTAAGGCACTTGACTGCTAATCAGAAGGCTGGTGGTTCAAACCCACCAGCCACTCCTCAGAAGGAAGGTTGGGTAATTTACCGCTGTAGTGATACCACCTCGGAAACCCAAGAAGGAGGAGTCGCTATGAGTCAGATCCAACTTAACGGCAGTGAGTCTGGTTTTTTGGTTTTTGTAGTCCATAACTAGATTTTGGATGGGGGATGGCAAAGTTAAATAGTAATAATGTTTGAAGTTTTGGGAAAGAGCTTTAGGGACTAAGCATTTGGAATTATGCTGACCAATGCTCTGAGAGAGATAATCTTGATTATCTTATCCTTCTATGTTGAGATTAATAAGAGTTTTTACAAAAAATGTATGTTGTGTTCTATCAAATGCTTTTCAGAGTCTAGCCGGATGACAATATAGATTATGTTTGTTGCCTTCTTGTTTCATACATTATATTGGTAGATTTCCAAATATTAATTTGGGAATTCCATGTATTCATGAAGTAATTTATATCACTTTAATATATAGTTTGGATATATTTTAATCTTTGCATATGTATTCATAAATAGGATGTCTATCCATAGGTTTATTCTATCTTTGGCAGTTTGGGATAATAGTTCTTATTTCTTTTTGTACTGCCTTTTCCGTTTGACCTTATATTTTCACCTGCTAAGCTCTGACTACTTATAAAGTTAGCTCTACATCATTAAAAATGCAACTGTGCTCCAACTGTTTCATATTTTTCTGTTAAAACATTCAAACACAATTATAGATTATAGTACATTATATGAAGAACTGTGTTTTATAATTTATAACACTATCACTATGTTTTCTTGTATTCACTGGATGGTGGTTATAGAATGAGAATATTTCTTGCTAATCTTAACCTCAAGGAGCTATGGTGGCACAGTGTCTAAGGCATTTGACTGCTAACCAGAAGGTTGGTGGTTCAAACCCACCAGCTGCTACACAAAAAGAAGATGGTGCAATCTATTTCCATCAAGATCTATTGCCTTGGAAACCCAATGGGGGTCACTATGAGTTGGAATTGACTCAATGGCAGTGAGGCGTTTTTTTCCCCCCCTCACCCCAGAACCACACATTTTATCTGGACCTTTTGTATAAAGGCAGCTTGCAGACAGGATGAGGGATTTACTCTTTGGGAGGTCATAGATGGCAGCCTTTCCAGCTTCCTGTAATGGAGAGGAAGAAAAAGGTATAGAAATATATGAGAGGCAGCATGGTGTAGTGGAAAAGAGATCTGAATTAGAACTCCCTCTCAGACTCTAGAGACGGACAGCTGCATATGGAATTCTGCTTTAGAACTTACCATCTGTGTGTCCTTGGCTACATGCATTTACTTTTCTCTCCCTCTGTTCCACCTGTCAAATGGGAGTAAAAATGTATTATTTCAGAGTTGACAGAAAAGTAAATGACTTAATACATTGTGTGTTTACAACAGTGTAACGTGCTTGCAACAAAATAAGTGCTTAATCAATAATTAGCCATTGTCTGCTCAGCCGCCTACGGAAGCACCAGGGCCTGAAATAAAAACAATGCAGAGTTCTGGGAATGCATCCAAAGAAATACAGAAGTTGAAGGAAAAATATATCAGTAAGTACCTATAAAATGATACGAACTTGCCTGAAAATGCACGAAACATGCATCTAAGAGGTAGGTGGTAGGTAGAGGAGACTAGAGAATTCAGAGTGATTGGAAAAACCCAAAGTTAGGAAGTGCGGCAGTCCCACGTGACTCACTTACAGATGGGGACCCTCGTCCCATGGAAAGCTGTCCATAATGGCTCCCCAGGCTCCCCAGTGGATAGAAGGACCCGGGACCCAGACTCCAATGACTCTCAGACAGTTTGTTGGTCAGATATCTCCCTCGGAAAAGAAAATGCTCACAGTCTGTCATGAATGCTTCCAAATTCAGTATCTTTTCACTTTTAAAAAAAAGCTAAATTTTTTTTTTCTTTTGAGTCATGTAAACAGAAAAATGGTATACTTAATATTACCATATTATGTAAAAATACATAACAATATTTGTTATATATTACATCATATTTCATTCTATTATATATAACCACCTTGTATGCCAGCAACCTAACAGATTTCATCTAATTCAATTCCACAACAAACTGCCAAAGACTTGCTGTTCTTCTCCCATTTTACAATGAGCTAGCTGAAACTCAGAAAAGCCTTGTAACATAACAAATTCATACTCAGGATAAATGGTACGGTGCTGAGTCTATGTGATATATTAAACTGAAGCCAGCTTTATTAAAATACAGTTTTAGTTTCAAAATTAAAATAACAAATAATAATAACTAATAGAGATCCTTATATAATCATATTTGAGGGCGTTTGCCCCTAAGTTACATTTAATTTGAGGCCCGGCAGTTCCCACTCCAATTCCCAGCCTCTGCGGCTGTGTGAACCTAACTACTACTCACGCCTCATTGCCTCTGAGTCCCTGTTGATAAAATTGATGTAATACCCCTGCCCTTCCTGATTCCAGGGGCTCTTCTAAAGATCAAACAAAATAATAGAAGTCAAAGTGCTTTGAAAATCTACGATAAAATTTCAAATTTCTCTGAGTCATGTCCATATTTCCACACCCTGCAGGTGACTTGCGCACATGGCCATGGGGAATCACTCTGCTGTGACTGAATTCCTTCTGGTGGGGCTCTCCCAATACCCAGAGCTCCAGCTCTCTCTGTTCGTGCTCTGCCCCCTCATGTACCTGATCATCCTCCTGGGAAACAGCCTCCTCATTCTCATCAGCATCCTGGATTCCCGCCTCCACACCCCCATGTACTTCTTCCTTGGGAACCTCTCATTCTTGGACATCTGTTACACATCTGCATCCATTCCTCCAATGCTCATCACATTTAGAAATGCAAGAAAATCCATCTCTTTCATTGGCTGTGCAGTTCAGATGGTTTTCTCACTTGGTTTGGGCTCCACGGAATGTGTTCTCCTTGCCGTGATGGCCTATGACAGGTATGTGGCCATCTGCCACCCACTGAGGTATTCTGTCATCATGAACAGGATATTATGTGTGCACATGGCCGCATGGTCCTGGATCACAGGCTGTCTAAACGCCCTAGTGCAAACAGTCCTGACAATGATGTTGCCTTTCTGTGGGAGTAACGTCATTGACCATCTCACCTGTGAGATCCTGGCTCTTCTTAAACTTGTCTGCTCAGATATCACCATCAATGTGCTTATCATGACAGTGGCAAGTATTGTTTTTTTGGTACTTCCTCTGCTATTAATTGTTATCTCTTATGTTTTTATTCTCTTTTCCATACTGAGAATTAGTTCTGCTGAAGGAAGAAAGAAAGCCTTTTCCACTTGTTCAGCTCACCTGACTGTTGTCATCTTATTCTATGGTTCAGCTCTTTTTATGTACATGAAGCCCAAGTCAAAGGACACAAAGACATCAGATGAGATCATTGGGATGTCTTATGGAGTGGTGACCCCAATGTTGAACCCAATCATCTATAGCTTGAGGAACAAGGAGGTAAAAGAGGCTGTGAAGAAAGTCTTGAGTAGACACATCTTTGGAAAATATGAACAGCCTTGAGGCATATGACATCCTCAGTGAGGGACAAGGTCAGGTCTTTTACATTCACAGAAGTCATGAAATGTGGTGTCAAGATGTTACTGTGCTTGTAAAGTCAAATAAGGAATTCTTAGGCTTTTCAACACAGAATGTCCCTGCAAGCTTTTCTGAATATTGTCTGGACTGCAGAGCAGCTATATGCAGCTCTGTCAATTGGCCACATAAAGGGCATATGGTTTTCCATCAGAATGAATCACTCTCCCCGCTCCTCTCTGTGTTCACTTGTTCTCTCTTCTCTGTCACTTTCTGTCTCTTGTTTCTCTCATTTTCTCCTCTCTCTCTCCAACCTCATCCTCTTGCCTCCATCTTCCTCTTTTTTCCTCCCTTCTTCTCCTTTTTCAATTCCTTTGAATTGAACATCTGTTATTTTTGTCATCTAACTTCTGGTAAAAGAATGCACCTTTATCTTTTAAGGATCCAACATTCCTCCATTCATAGTCCATTTTGAACAGAGTGGAGCTGACCCAAACCTTTGAAGATGAGTAATCATGAAGCCAAGGTCCAGCCAATTAAAGAAGGAAACCCCTCTAGCCGTAAGTGATTCATTCAGGGTAGCATGTGACCCAACCAGGCTTAATTAAACTCAACACCAAGAGTGGTGTCCCACTATCAAAGAGGCACTCTTTCTCCTATTAACTGTAGAAGTGAAACTGGATCCAATCTTTGCTGATATATGGGGAGAGCCTAATTGAGAGGCAAACAAGAGCTGGGAGGAAGAAGAGCATGTCTGATGCTGTTGTTTTAATTATTGGATCCAGATGTGTCTAAAGTCTAAAGTCAGATTCACCAATATTTTTTTTGTTATATGTGTCAATAAATTACCTTTTTTATACAAAAAACTAATTTGAGTTTGATTTTTATCACTTATACCTATATAGTTCTAATGTGTACATCCCTTTGCCCCTTTCCTCCACTCATATTTTGAAGTAAAAAATTATAAGGCTATGTATGCATGGTCCTTTGTACCATGTTCAGTTCTCTTTCCTTTAATAA